CTTCTCTGCCTCCTTCCCGGCCTGGGTAACTCCATGATGGATCCCCTGACCAAACTTCTCTCCCTCCTTCCAGGCCTCATTGACCCCATGGTGGACCCCCTGGCCAAACCTCCCTGCCTCACTTCCTGTCTGGTTCACCCCATGATGAACCCCCTGAATCATTTTGTCTGCCTCCTTCCCAACCTGTCCAGCAGCGTGGTTGACCCCATGGACAAACTTCTCTGCTTCCTTTCCTGCTTGTCCGACGCCATTGTTGATCCCATGGGCTACCTTGTCCAAGCCATTGTTGAATCCCTGGATGCCCTTGTCCACCTCCTTGCCGGCCTGGCTGCCCATGTTGCTAAGTCCATTAAAAACTTTCTCCACTTCCCTTCCGGCTTGAGTGATTCCATTATTGATGCCTTCCAGGGCCTTGCCCACCTCTCTCTCTGCATTGCTCAGCCCTCGGTTGAACCCTTCGATGACCTTCTCAATGGGGTCATCGTTGGCTGCCCATCCAGGCAAGGCCCCCAACAGCAGTAGAAGGGAGCAGGAGCTGACCAAACTGGCAAGATGCATATTGTTGGGAGGGCAGGGAGGATGCAGAGAGGAGCCAGGGAAGCAAAGCTGCTATTTATCCTCTGCCTCCCTCCCTCTTCTCCACCCCTCATGACTCAACTACTCCTTTGAGGCACTGACTTGGTCCCTAGTCAGGGAGGTATTTCCCAGGGAGATTTGGGGTTGAGCAATGAAGAGGAGGAGGAAGAGAGGGTGAGTCATGAATGGAGAAGACTCACAGGGCATCTCTGCTCCTGGCCCAGCTTGGGCCCTCCACCCCAGAGCTCAGATGTCTGCCTTTCCATCCACCTGCTCTTTTCATTCCTCACTCACTATCCAGGCCTCCTCTCTCCCAATCCCAGCTTCAGTCACCCCCATCCCTGGCACCCGGGCCTTGTTCTTCAGCATCTTCACTCTCCTCAGGGGGTCTAAGCATCCAGCTTCCCCAGCAGTGAGAGTCTGGAAAGAGGGGAGGTACAGTCAAGAGGGAGAGATCATCTCACAGTCATCAGACCTTGTTCTTATTATTCTTGTCGACACCCACCCCCCACCCCCCGCAACTTACTCTGCTCCAGCCACACAGGTCTTCTCCTTGGTCCTCAGACACACCAAGCTCATTCCTGCCTCATGGCCTTTGACTTGCTGTTCTCTCTGCCTAGAATGCAGAACTCAGATCTCCACATGGCGGGTTCCTCCTCATTCTGTTCTTAGCTCAGATGTCACCTTCTCAAAAAACCTTCCCTGGCCGTCCCCTAGTTATACTCTGTCATATCATCCTGTTGTTTTTATAGCACTTACCACAATCCAAAATTCATCTTTTTTATTGTCAGTCTCACCTACCAGATTGTAAACTTACAGAAGACAGGGTCTTCGTCTGTGTTGGTCACTGTTATAGCCCCAACTTCTAACATTGCCTGGGGGGCAGTACATATTTATAGATTGAACAAAGGATGGATTAGAAAAAGCCAAGGGAGGAGAGGCCAGGCCTGAGCCTGAGTCTCCAGGGGTGCTGGAAGGAAGGCTACCTGGGTCCCCTGGGAAACCCAGGGTCCCTTGGGGAGGGCTGCAGATTTTGGAGCCAGGATCACATTCTTGTCACTGAATCCTGGCCTCCTGCCTCCCAGCCCTTGGGCAAGGGCAGGGGGCTGATTGCCACGAGCTGGAACAGGACGCAGTGTCTCCTGAAAAGCCGGTTGAGGCAGCCACAGGGAGGGGCCGAAGACCAGGGGCAGCAGGAGACTGTCAGCCGGGAGGGCTGGGGGCCAGGAGCTCATCCTTCTGCCCTCCTCCTCCTAGGTTCCAACCTGAAGCCCCACGTGCTGACATAGTGGCACGAGTTGGAGGGGGAAGTGGCTGTGAGTTTGGCCTGGGGGTGAAGAGGGGCATCAGAAGGAAAGGTAAGTGGTGGCTGCTAGGTCTGTCGCAGCATCCCGACCTGGAGCTAGTTCAGAGGGAGGCAGAGACCAGAAGGACGAGAGCTGGTGGGTGGGTACAGTTGTGCAGGGGTGAAAGATATTGGGTTTTGGTGCCAAGGGGAGAGATGGAAAGAGGAAGTGGAGGTGGGATGGCTGGTGGGAGGGCCAGGCAGGAAGGAATGTGCAGGGTGTGAGCAAGTGGGGGTGGCAGAGTTATGTGTGTGGGTGCCCAGGTGTGGCGAGAATCTGCACGTGTTTTCAGGCTTCGCGCAAACAAGGGTGACAGGCCCACTCCCCTTGCAGGACCCAGCGTTCCACCCTAGATCCGGGAAACTTGGCTCCACCCGGGCCCAGAGACCCCGAGCTTCTGCCTGCTCTAGGCTCTGCCTCTGGAGCGTGACTAATTGAGCCACCTCTCCAAGCTTGAGCTCATCAAATCTGTTTCCCGGTTTCACACTCCAGGGACAGAGCAATCCCTGGGCAACCTTGGGCGTGGCTTTCGTGCCCTTGTCCAGTGCCTAAATGAGAGAGTTTCCCATGCCCGACTGCTGGGTGGAGAAGGGTGGGGGGTGAGTTCAGAATCCTAATCTGCCCCAAGATTACAAGAGGGGCTTCTCCTTTTGAAATGTACTTCCCTTCTCTCTTCTGCCCCAACCTACCATCTTCCGTCAACCCCAGGCCCTCTCCTCAGTCTCTCCATTCCCATCTGCCACTGTTTCACTCAGGGCTTTGGCATCTGGCTCCATAAGTGAGATTGGTCTGGAGCTGCTGTCCCTTCCTTGCTGTCCTCTGCTGGTTGTGGTAAGGTCACTGTGCCGCTTCCCTAGAGTGAGCGGGGAGGTTTCAGTAGCTGAGCCATCACAGCGACATACGTACACACAGTATGCCTGCTGATCTGCAGGTCTCAGAGCATGTGCCCACCCAGAGCTTCTTCCCCCAGGAGCCACTGCCAGGCCACCCACCTCCTGCCGGGATCCACACCAGTTCCTGGAGACGGGCACATATTCCCAAGGCTCAGCAGATCCCGCCTGCAGTCGTCTAGATCTGAATCAGCCTTTGCAAGGATAGATCTTCAGTCTTTGTTTCTTCTCTTGTTTCTGGCCTATTCAGATTTGCCATTTCTTTTTGCACCAGTTTTGATCCTTTATATTTTCTAAGAAAATTTTTAATTGCATCTAGCTTTTCACATCTATGATTGTAAAGTTGTACAAAATCAGCCCCTTTCAGCCCTGGTTTTATTTGTGTGGTCTCTCTTCCCTCCCTTGACGGTACATGTTAAGTTTGTCCCCCTTCATTTTATTAATATTTGCTTTTCGGTCTTGGCTTATTGAAACCTCCCCATTTGTGCACCCAATTTACTTTCACTTTGCCCAGGCCATCCTCACTCTGTCCCATGACAGGTGCTTGGTGAATGGAATCCCATGGAGGTTTGGGGAAGGAAGAATTTATGTCACTCTGCCCCTTCTGGCTTCCACACCTCTCTCTCGGCTGGTGACTCCTTCCTGGCCCAAACCCCCACACCCCTTAAATCTTGGTAACAGCTGCGTCACCTGGCCCTGCAGGTGAAGGTGCCTGCCTGTGAGTCACAGATGTGCAAGCAAGCCCCCACCCCCAGGGCTTTAGGGGAAGGGGGCCATCTGACACAGCGTTTGTTCTTCCCTGTTTATTGAGAGCCTGTTTTGTGCCAGGCCCAGTTCTAGGTACTGGAAGACCAGTGATGAGCAAAACAGACAAGAATGCACGCCCTGTTGGGGGCTTACAGCCCCCCGGGGGACATGGTGAACAAATCCATCAATAACTAGATCATAACAAACGATATGAAAGGCCACAAGGAAGAAACTGGGGTGCTGCGAGAGGAAATGACGTGGAAGTTGCTTTAAGATTGGAGATCAGAAGAAACCTGAGGAGGTGACATTTATTTATTCATTCTGGTATTATTTATTGAGCAAGCACCTTCTAAGTGCCAAACATTCTTTTAGTCACTAGGACATAAAAGTGATGAAGGTGACAAGCACTCTGCCTTCCCAGAGCTTACAGGCCAGTGGGCAGAGACAACTGGCAAGAAAACAAATGAATAAACAAGATGAGTTTTCCAGAGAAAAGACAGTGTAATCCTGGAGTGGTTTGGCACATTGGAACATCTAACTCAGGATGGGAAGTCAGAGAAGGCTTCCTGGAAGATGGGTAGATTGAGGGGGGTGGGATGTCAGCAGATGGGGACTGAGAAAGAAGAGAACTTTTGATGTGGAGTGAGGAGGGCCTCTCTTAAAGGGTGGCATCTGAGGGAAACCAAGAGGCAGCCCGGGGAAGACCTGGGCAGGGCTTTCCTGACAAAAGGAACCAGCTAGGGTAACTCCGCAGAGTGGGGTCAAGGAATGGGGGTCTGGAGGTGTTGCGGAGAGAGACAGAAGGAGAGGAAAGGGCTTTGAGGACCATTGCAAAAATTGGATTCCATTCTATACCTCAGTGGGTGGCCTTGGAACGGTGGTGCGGAAGTCACAGGCCCCGACTGGGATAGGGCCTCTGTGACGTCACTGGGCACTGTGACGTCACAGCAAGGAGCTCCCGCCCCAGGAGCCCCGGCGCCCCGCATCACATCACAGTAACATCGTGGTGGGTCCAGGGACGTCTAGGCCATGAAACCTTAGGAGGCCATGTCGAAACGCGACATCGTCCTCACCAATGTCACCGTCGTCCAGCTGCTGCGACAACCGTGCCTATGCCCGGGTGAGGGAGGCGTCGGGGCGATCCTGGGGACGGGAAGAAAGGGCGGTCGGGGAGCACGTCCAGCCCCGCACAGGGCGCACGCCGGGTCCGAGCCCCTTCAGCGAGTGTGCGCACCGTCCAGTGTCCTGGAGGGAGGCGGGCAGGAGGCGCGGGGTGGGGCCGCCCCCTGCCGCCGGGGCTCTTCCCTCCCGGAGCCGCTTCCCTCCCTCCCCCCTCCCCCCCATCCCCCCCGTGTTTGCTGGCAAAGTAGTTTCTACGGCGACGGTGGAAGGGACGGGGACCCCAGCCCTCAGGGTGGGCTTTGCTAGCGCGCGGTGGAAGGGTAGGAATAGAGCCAGGATGGAGGCTGGAGCTGGGTTTACGAGGGGGCATCTCTGAGGAGCAGCTGGGTAGTGAAGACCCGCGACGAGCCAGGTCTCACGTGAAATTGCCGCTCCTGTTGACCCGCGCGAAAGGGTGGCTTGAGGGTAGGCGAGCTTTGTCCTCCCTCTGTTGCACAAAGCGAGGATAGGGCCGTGCCAAGCACTTCACAGGCGTGCGCGCATTGAAGCCTCACAACCACCTGTTGAGGCCCCTGTACTTAAACTGTCCCCATTTTACAGACTGGCCAACAGAGGTAAGAGAGCGCAAACCACTTCCCCAGCACGGGAATAGTGGAGTCGGGCCATTGGGCAGCCCTGCCTCACCCAGCCAGAGGTGCACACACTCCAGCCAGACGAACCCTGGTCTTCCGGGAGGGCAACCCCATTCGCTCGCGGCCTCCTCGCTGACCTCGGGCGGGGCGGCCCAGAAACCTCCGCCCCGCGGTGTGGGGGGCGTGGCCGGGGGCGTGGCTTAGTCTGGGCTCCAGGGTCCCGGAATCCCTGAAAGACGCAGCAGTGGCACACAGATAACGGCGGCGGGCCCTGAGCCCCCTCCCTGCTCATCACTCGCTCCGTGACCAG